GTTAGGTTTATTCGACAGTAGTTCTGCATATTCTCTTTGGAAAAAATTGGAAGGACTTTTGAAAGAAAAACAACTGGCAATAAAGTTTTTTTTATCATAAAACTTGTGAACCTAAAATATAGAGAGGGTGTTTTTATTGTTGAGCATTTGAATGAAATGCAGAGTATTACTAGCCAGTTATCTTCTACGAAATGATGAGTTGCAGGCATTATTACTTCTCAGTTCATTACCAGAAAGTTGGGAGAGACTGGTGGTTTCCCTCAGTAATTCTGCGCCAGATTGTGTTGTCACCATGAATTAAGTAACAAACAATTTGTTGAATAAGGAGTTAAGAAGAAAGAATTCAACAACATCTCAGAATGATTCACAGAAACTTATCTCAGAGAATAGAGGAAAGTCAAAGTCTAGAAGCAGTTCACGCATGAATGGAAGCAAGTCAAGATCAAGAAAAGATATTATTTGCTATAACTGTGGTGACAAAGGATATTACAAGAACCAAAATAAGCAACCTAAGAAGAGCAAGAAAAATGAAAAAGAAGTGGAGTATACAAAGTCAAAGGATAATACTACAACTACAGTGCAATGTGATGATTATTTAATGTCGTCTCCTTCTAATAATATTTTTTCTTGTGTGTCAGGATCTTGAGTGAGTGATTGATACAAGTACTTCTTATTAAGCTACACCACGGAGGGAGTTTTTTACTACATACAAGTATGAAAATTTTGGTGTTGTCAAGATGGGCAACTATGGCACGACAAACATCATTGGCATGAGTGATATTCATTTAAAGACCAACCTTGGCTACAAGTTGGTGCTTAAGGATGTAAGGCATGTAGTTGACTTGAGGCTGAATTTAATTTCAATTGGAAGGCTAGATGATGAAGACTATGATAGTAGATTTCATAGAGGGCAATGCAAACTTAGTAATGATTCTTTTATTATGGCTAGTGGAAAGAAATGTCATACTTTGTACAAGTTGCAGGCTAAAGCTTATGATGAGCAGTTAAATACTACAGAGAAAGACTTCAGCATGAAGTTGTGGCATAAGCGATTGGGACACATGAGCGAGAAGGTGCTGCAAGCTCTTTCTAAAAGAGATATATTACCAGATCTCAAAGGTACACATTTGAACCCTTGTATTGATTATTTGACTAGTAAACAACATAGAGTTTCATTTGCTAGTCCTACTTTGTCTAGAAAAATATATGCCTTAGACCGTATTTATACAAATGTATGTGGTCTTTTGAGGGCAAAAACTCCTGGTGGATCTGTTGATGTTCTTGGTATAAGTGGTGCATTTTATTTTGTCACTTTTATAGATGATTTTTTTCAGAAAAGTTTGAGCCTATGCTTTGAAGATTAAAGATCATATGATTAATGTCTTCAAAGAGTTTCATGCCAGAGTTGAAAGGGAGATAGAAAGACAATTGAAATGCATAAGATCAGATAATGGTGGTGAGTACACATGATTATTTGATGATTATTGCAGGTCACATGGGATCCAATATGAGATGACAATTTCTAGTACACCTCAGCATAATACAATTGGAGAGAGGATGAACCGCACCATCATGAAAAAGATCATATGCATGCTTTCACAGGCCAAGCTACCCAAAAGGTTTTGGGATGAGGCTTTAAGAACTGTAGTTGAAGTGATCGACTTGTCACCATGCACAGCCCTAGATGGTGATGTTGTAGAGCATGTATGGTCAGAGAAAGATGTTTCCAATAGCCATTTGAGAGTGTTTGATTGTTGTGCATTTGCACATGTTCCAGACAATGAGAGGTTCAAGTTGGATGGTAAGACTAAAGAATGTATTTTTCTTGGTTACTCACATGATCAGTTTGGTTACATGCTTTGGGATCCAGAAAAGCAGAAGGTGTTCAGAAGCAGATATGTAGTCTTCTTTAAGGATCAAACCTTTGAAGATTTGAAGAAGAAGACACCGGCCAAGACTTCTACAGAAGGATTAGCAGATTGTGACCTAGTTACTCCTCCAGTATATCAGGGTAATGAGAGAGATGTGCAGGAAGATGGTGTAGAGCCTGATATTGATCTACCCGTAGGACATGTTGAGTAAGAAGAAGTTTGATAGCAACTTCCCGTAGAACCTCGGTTGAGAAGATCTTCTAGATAACGTCAACCTTCTAGAAAATACTCAACATATGAGTATGTGATGCTTACTGATACAGGTGAACCAAAGAGTTACCAGGAAACTGTTGAAAATGAGCAGAAAGAGAAGTAGTTAGTTGCTATGCAGAAGGAGATGGATGCTCTTTAGAAGAACCACACTTATGATTTGGTACTACTATCAAATGAAATGAAGACCTTACCAAAAGAAAAACAGGAGATATGTCGACAGTTGGTCGGCATGGTTTCACATTGAGGAGTCATGGGACAGCCTCCTTTATAGGCTGAAGGGGAAGGTTGTTGGGCTGACAGCCCACAGATTCAGCCCATAGTGGGCTTGAACAGTCCACAGCCCACCTCCTCACTTAACCTAACCCTAATTCATATTAGGGGGTGTGGGTGGCTACGTTTAAAGGCAGAAAGAGGCATAAATAAGGCAACAACGAGGGCAGCACAAAAGATCCTTGCAGCAGCAAAAAAGAGGAGAAAAAGACAAAAATCCAAGGAGAAAGAAAGAGAAGAAAACAAGGACAGAGAGACTGTTCTCAATCATTCAATAGTGTTCTCATCTCAAGTTAGATCAAATATACAGTAGATTTTTACTGTAATTACTTTGGGAGAATTAGGGAGGATTTAGATATTGTTTTTATCCTTCACATTGAAGTGATTTTTCACGTATATCTTGGTGTTTTATTTTATTATAGTTCCATTTAATTCCGTCGTGTGTTATGATATACTTAGTTCTTCGGCCACCCGTCTTGCTTCATGGCCCTCCTCGCCATTACGGTTTGCATGCTCGCAACCAGTAGGAGGAGCAGCACCAGCGTTCCTGTGCTTCGGAACCACAGCCATCTCAATAAACAAGAGAGGGAGAGAGAGAGGTAAGTTTATGGTTGTTTAGAGCAATATAGATAGCATCACCAAACTCATGTTACGCATGCATCGGTTTGACAATCCACATCACTTGGTTCTCTTATTCTCTTCCACCTCCAGGACTTGGACTCGTTCCAAAGAAGGTTGTTTTGACTCAAGACTATATGTACCATTTCACGAGCATATATGTGTGATCGAATGTGGATCAAAATCAACCATTCCGAGGGGTTTGAGGCCAAGAAGTTGCGAGTCTTTGATTTGGACCAACATGAGGATCGAATGGTCCAATTCATGACAGTGACTCCGAGATGGTCTCAAGCCAATTCCATGCAAGTTTTGACTTTAAGGCCCAATGCATGCAGTGTGCGTGCATTCACTTTCATGGCCTAATGTATGTGTTAATTGCTATGTAAATACTTATATAAGATTTTGTGACTCTTTACATTATACTCTTCATTGATTTAGATTGAGCACTGTAATTTGTGTTCAATGTCAGAGGTACAGAAGAAACGAAGACAATGAGATGATCCTTAATACTGCAAAGATTATTATTTTCAGATCCTGAATCCAATTATTAGAAAGCTTAATATGATAAACCCAAAAATTCTATTTTTTTTGGGTGATATAATATTGTCCCAAAAAGAAAGAAAGAAAGAAAGAAATCTGATTGCAGAACCCCTCAGGCAGTGTTCTGAGACTAATTTTGGGTGTCTCAGTAATATTGTCCCAAAAAATTAATTGAAGATACTATTTCATTATCTTGGCAATCCAAATACAAACTGTATGGTGTTCTGTAGCATGCAAGACATGGACTATAAAGAACCAGAAAAGAAAAGCAAATGCTGTGGACTTGTCGGGACTTCTCCTTCCATTCCTAAAGAGGAGGAAGCTTGCAAACCCCTTCATTGTTGTTGGACTTGTGGGTGCAGCTCGATGGTCCAGACGGCGGCACCGGTCCCTGTTGAAATGAGTACCGCGGAGGGAGCCTCACGTTCCCCTGCCACCGGTCCCCGTCGAAAGGCCTTGCCGCCGTGAGAAGATGCGAGCTCGAGAGCACCAGGACAAGCAACGGTAGCGCTCGGAAACAGCAATGAGCCATCGCAGTGATGAGAAAGCGAAGGAATCGGACGCCCTGCTTCTTCTTGGTTTCTTCCCATGGACATGCAGTAGAGCTGGCGAAGAGAGTGCCTTATAGGAGACAACAGATTACATTTCGAGTCGAAGGATTCGGAGTTCTCCTCGTGGTTGACTTCAAAGACGCCGCATTAATTCCACCAATTACGCCGCTTCGTTCCTCTTCCTGGTTTCCGACTGGATCGCCTTGGTCTGAAAACACTACTATTTCAGTACTGACATGAGGGATTGGGGTTCGTAGTCGTCCAACATACGTAAACATGCGTTTGATGAATTCAAGGAAAACGAAAAGAGGAAAAGACTCGAAAGATTACTTGTTCGAGTCGTCAAACATACGCAAACATGCGTTTGATGAATTCAAGGAACACGAGAGGAGGCAAAAGAAGTCAACATTCTTTTTTCTGTGAAAGAAATCAAGTAGGAGTTGTTTGACGTATGAGTTCAATGCCCACAAATGAACGTATCATTGTTTAGTTATAATATGAATAAGTCGATAAGACACCTAAAAATTTGTTTAGATTATGTTACATACAGTAAGTGTTCATCCTAATATGTTGAAAATAATGATAACTCTTAAGATCATCATGTTCTTAGTCAACTTCCTTTAAGCTCAGTTTACTCTTCTTTATTGCATCTGAACCAACTTGGAATATGATCGACATATGAGCCAGAATAACTTATAGAACTGATGCGGAAATAAGGTATCTCATAGACTTGGAATTTCAGAATGAAAGACAAGTGTTGTTGAACCTTTCAAAATGTTTTGTATGAATTGGTAAATTGAAAATGATCATAAATAGAACATATCTGATACAAAGTCAGTGCATCCATCATAGTTTTGTCTCACACATACATCATCAGAGAATTGTGAAAAGACATTTTATCTGAATGGGAAAATTCTTTGTGTGTATCTCTTTCATTTAACAATGTTCTGCTTCTGGCACCGCAAACACAAGTGTGAAATTGGAGAGCAACATCATCACACATGTTCGATGCATGTGCCAAAATCCGTCTCCATAACTTTCTTCATGTTTTATCTCCTCTCATGCTCAGGGAGCTCACCCAGTGGGCTCGGCATGTTGGCCTGGTGAGAGGAGGCCAACGGCACGGAGAAACTTGTTGTGACACAACTTCAGAAGAAGACATTCCCTCCATGTAGTGTTTAACGCAAAAAATGGTTGTATTTGCACTTTTGCAGTGACCGACCTCTGAGCGCTACTTGCGAGTTCTCTTTCGAGTTCTCAAGCCAGAACTGGCTGCTGCCTCTGAAGAGCCAGGAAGGTCCCCAACAGTCTCTTCTGCAGGTTCTGCCTTCACTATTTCGTCATCACTTCCTTCGTCAAAGCTCTCGGTTCCATCGGTTGAATCATCCTCTTTTGAAGCTTTTCCAGCAGTTCCTTTTTTTGCTATCCGATCCCTGAGTTCTCTCAGTTTGGCCTTCTTGGAGTTTAAAATGGCCACAAACTAGATTCACAAAACAAATAATTAGGTAAGAACCTAAGGGAGATTCGAATAGTATGATAAATATGTGAATCTTAACGAAGACTTGTGACAAAATGTTGCAACTACTAAAAAATTTCCACATTAAACTTTAGCTCGAATGGCTTTACAAGGAATCCATCATTTTCTCCTGAAACAAACTTATTGATCAGTTTTAACCATCAATATAGCCCCATTAGAAAGGTCAAAATGAACCACTAACTTGTTCTAATCAGAAATCCAGGGGATTAGGCAACATCAATCATATTGTCAGTCTGCATATATTCATAAAATATGCTCACATCACTTGTTAGGCAAAACACATTCCCAAAGTATCCAGGCAAGGACCTTTGTAGCACATAAATATCTGAAATCCCCTCCGATTTGACAGGCTAATGCAATTATAAATCATGATAAGAGGTCTTCGGTAGAGTAACTTCAACTTCAGATGAGCATTAACTTTGTTTAAACTATAGTATCGTCTATATTCCTTTTAGTTGATAGATAAAAATAGGCTTACTCAATATCCCAACTTCCATAGTCTTATAAATTGAAATTTTATTAAACAAAATTAAAGTTTTACAAAACCACAACAATGTATTTACAGAAATTTGAATAAAATGAGATTTAGAATAACAAGAAAATAAAACATACCTTTGTGTAGACCGCAGATTCAAATTCAACTTTCTCATTGCTAAACCTCTCACTTTGAAGTAAACATTTCTCAGCTTCTGATTTCAACTTCTGGTTGGATTGCGTCTTCCTAACAACTTCTTCCTGCACAGATTTGTTAAATACATTATTTTTGGACAATGATGTAGATAAAAAAAATTACTTTAAACATAGAGCACTACTAGAGTAATGGTTTTCTTAACTAAGATTATAGTTGCACGTACAAGTATCTAAATGTGTTTAGACATATCATGCACATATATGGTACTCCAAAGAGCACTGCAGGAGTTTAAGAAATTCTAAACAATCCCATGAGTGCAAAATATTTTTACAAGTTTGAAGTGGAAGTGTCAGGGTTTGATGCACAACAAAACAGTTCCTCACATATATATTGGTGTCACAAGTAGTGACCCTCATACAATGTCAATGATTGCTAGAAGGAGATAACAGCTGTGATCAATTCAGTTTGAACTAACAGGGACTTTAAACTTGAGTCAGAAGATAGAATTAAGGAGCATGAGCACAATTATGATAGAATCAGGCATCTCTTCCATGTCACAGTTACTGCAAAAAAACAAATATTAAGTGCATGGTGATGACTATTTTCAGGCCAACCTATATGACATGAAAACCTTAGCTTGCATGGCCTCTCCAAATTTTATTTCTTAATTTAATAAATAATCTCAAACATGATATGAAGGCAACGTAAGACTCTAATATTTGGCATTAGAAAATCACTAATTGGTAACATAGAAACAGAAAATGCAGGTGAGCTCCTCTGAGCAGATGTTGAGGATCAATATATGACTGTAATTTGGTGTTGAGCTAAAATATAGGATGGAGGATGGAGTATTAGATATATCCAGAGTTTAGATGGATATTAAATATTAGATATATCTCATAATTAAATCATGGCAAGAACTTAGCTAGACGATGATTGGTCATGTTATCAATCTCTTATCCTTAAAGTTCTCATGTTCTCAGACTTATGAAACATACTTAGCTCATTCATAAGTCTGTTCTGCTTCCTGCACGCTAATACATTCAAAGGGCTGCATAGTGATCCTAAATCTACCAAAACCTGTAGTAACAGTTTAGAATCCGTATCTCTAGATATCGGGACAGTAATAATACAAATAGGATATATATATATATATATTTATTTATTTGGAACTGTCAGACCAAGATTCATGCATTGAACTTTTGTAAAAAAATAATTGTAGAATTGTAGACCAAGTTCAGCAACCTAGCGAACTAGATGGGGGAAAATAGTAACAATAATATGAACAAAGACCAAAGAGAAGATTCTCAATAAGATAATGAAGGAAAATTAATTTCCTTCACAAGTTATATAATATACATAAAGGATAAAGCAGCATCTTACACTCAGGCGAATATTTGCGTCCATAAGGAAATCCAGGATTCCTGCTGTAGTTTGCTTATTGTTGGGTGATGGTTGACACTTCCAGCGCCACTCCAGTGTGGTACCTTGCTTTTCAAAAGTCCATGACAACTGACGAGAAACAAAAAAAATCAATAAAGGCAAAAAAGGTAGATTACATAATCAATCCAAAGGATAAAATCTGCTAATAAATAATAGCCAAGATCATCTGTACTAATGTCTAAATATTGGAATTTGATAATTAATTACAAAAGAAAGAGAGAGCATTTTCTTTTCAACTCCTAAATTGGAAAATACTGATAAGTTTGAAATTTTGTTTTAGCTTTTCAGTCCATCATCTGATCCTTTTATCTTGGATTTGAATATTCGATCAATAAGGTCAGTAGATGCATCAGATAATGGGATATCGAAAGAGAGAAAAAACCTACGAGAAAATGTTTCAAGTGCATCACTGCTTTACTTCTGTTTACTAACACTACAAAGCATTTAGTTCAACCAGCTAAGAAATTAGAGGTAAGATGCATCATATCATGTGCCTAACAATGTCCCAAACTAAAAGCAAACAGCATCCAGAGAGCGATCAGAGAAAGTAAAGTTCAAGGAAAAAACAGAAGCTGAGATAACCAGTGACTCAACCGAGGAAAAAAAAGATCTTTTTCTACACCTTTGACCTAATACACAATAATGCGAAGTGCCAGAAAGAAGAAGAAGAAGAACAACGACAAGTGTGACTAACCCTGCGCTGCCCGTTTCCGGCGTCCTCGAAGCCATATTTGGATCCCGGCTGCTGAAACCCAAGGTAGTGCTCGGCCAGGGCGATGTATTCGGCCACCGGCAGGTCCCACTGCTCCGCCCTAAGCCTCACCTCCGCCTCCGACGCTGAACGATCAACAAGCAGGAAACCAAAAAAGAGAAGATCAAACAACAACTGTAAAGCCACGACCAGGATCAAACAGCAAGGAGGGGTCGCAAAGGTGGGCACCGTGGCAGGTCCAGGCGTCGAGGCCGTCAGAGATGGCGAGGTCGAAGCGGGAGGGGAACCACGTAGCCTTCACAAAGACAGCGTCCTTTGCCTTGGGATCCTCCACGGGGAGGTCCAGCTTCAAGCAAGTGTGCCTCGTAAAGGAAGAGGAGACGGCGGCGTCCTCCTCCATCGGCTTCTGTTACTTCTCGCGCAAGGAAACCAAAGATTTCAACTTGGAGTTGAACTACCGTGGCCCAAACCAGACCGAACCGGACCGGGCCAGACTAGTACGGGTCGAAGCAGTCCATGACGCATGCTTGGACACTGCTTCACGCCTTCGTTGTTGCTCATTAATGCCTCATTCATGCCTGCGTGGACATCCATCCATGATTTGACTGCACTCATTGGTTGCTTATCTAAACATACCAATTCATCATACTTGAGATCCATGTCATGTTGATTCGAGGTTCGATGCATGGATATATCCATTCTAGAACATGATCTGAGTCCATCATGCGTTGACATGTGTACAGGAACATGATTGGCATCTTTAAGAGCCGTGCTCCAGCAACCACTCCATCGCAGCCATGTGACACCCACGTGTTGGTGATAGTATACCGGTCGTTCTGACACTGTTATTGACAGAGCTAATCGTAATTAAAATAGGATTAATAACTAAGTCTTTAGATCAATTATTTTTTTTGTAATATTAACTTAAATTAATTAGTAATTTTATTTCTAAAAATTCCTTAGGTATTGTTTTCTTTTTGGGAATAATACTACAGTGGAAGGCGGTTCTGAAACTCCAAAGCCGACTGCAAAGACATACTCAAAACGGATTACCTGTCTTGTCAACAGATGGAGCGACGTCTGCAGATTCCGTGTGGGCCTCATGGCTACCACCAATAATGTGGCAGGTATAAACTGAAGCGCATGCGAACACTTTGCAGATCTCATTAAACGGGAAGGTATTTGCACTTTGATCTCCGCACCGTCCAAGCCTCGTGCGTTCGCGTGCGGCTCCGATCCGTTAGGGGTTTAAGACCGAAGTCACCAAACCCTAACTGCCTCCTCTCTTCCATATCTCCACTCCTCCCCTCCATTCGTCCGCTTCGTTTGGGTTCGTCGAGGGCGCGGCGCGTGAGTCATGGATAGGTACCAGAGAGTTGAGAAGCCGCGGCCGCAGTCGGCGGCCATTGGCGAGAACGAGATCCGAATCACCACCCAGGGGCTCATCCGCAACTATGTCAACTACGCCACCAGCCTTCTCCAGGTATGACCGGTTCGATGTCTTGCCGTCATTGGGCGCTTGGTTGTGGGAGTCGACGCTCATCTTCTGATCACGTTGATTCGGGGCATGTTGATTCGATTTTGCTCAGGAATATGGGATGCTATTGTTAGTGGATGGTGTGCTCTAGATCTTCGTGTTAATGTGAATGTTGCTTGTTTGATTTGCCCTTTGAAGAATCTAGATGCTTCGTTGACAGTGCTTATGGTGGTGTATTGCTATGGGATGGACATGAACAAAATAAGAAAGGAGTCTGTTCAGTGGGACATGACACCCCTTGATTTGTACTTTATAGCGGGAAGTAGATCACTGCGACAGGCTTGGAATTTGTGGCTAGTGTCGATCCTTCAGTAGGGTAAATTGTGCTCCACTCCATCGGGCAAATGCCTCAAAGTGCAAAAGACGGCTCAGTTGTCAGCACTCAGGAGACTATTTAAGATGGGCTTGGTTTACAATCACTTGTATCCTTTAGAATTTACAAATTCATTTTGGGGAGAAAGTATGCATAATTAGAGGTAGGGCTTTTAACATTTGACACAGAGGTTTACTGTCATATGGTATCAGGGCAGAAGTAACATGTTGTGATATTTAGAATTTCACAAAGTACTGGTATTTATGATGAATGAGGAAGATTTGGTTTTCATAGTTTAAAGAAAAATAGAGATTAAGCCACAATAACAGTAGATGCCATGACATATACTTAGGTGCTTCAACATGTTCCTCATGTGAGTGTGACTCGGATGTTCTTTCACGAATGAGAAACTGGCATAAATACTTAGTGCACAAAAGTTTTGCCATGAAGTCCCAGAGCATCAATAACTGACATGAATACTTAGTGGACAGAAGTTTTGCCATGAAGTTCCAGTGCATCAACAGCCAATACTATAGTCATGCATGCAATTGATGGATTTTTTTTTCTTTTCCTATTTGTATCAACTAAGGAGTTAATTCATCTATAGTTAATTTTTATGAAGATTTTTTAGTAGAAATATAAAGTTTACATATAGATTTGGGTATATCTGATTTGTGTAATTCAGATAATCACTTTGCACTTGATTTTGTGGAAATATTGTTGCCTAGAACTTGTAATTCTTCTGTATATGAAATGAAAGAAGAATGGAAAGACAAAGAAGGTATATCTTGAAGGATTTATTTCTTGGTTTCATCTTTGCAGTTGTTAGAAGACAGATGTTCTCTCCGAAGCTTATTAGCCTTTACAAAAGGATTGTTGGTGACCATACTAATATTCTAGGCATATCCTTCTTGGCACTAGTCGTATTTTATTTTGTGACTCATTTTTTGTCATGGTATAGTATTTGTTAATTTGTGGTCATCTTCTACGATGCTAATACTTTCTATACAAATTTCTAAAATGCTTTTTCACACTAAATTGAATATTATATGCTGAGACTTTCTCTGTATAAATGCATAATGATAAAATTAAGATAAATACTCCATGCAAAGTCAGTCTTGATTGTCTGTCTTCAATGCTTGTTTTGAAGTGACTTTTTTTATTTTCCAAGGAGATGGACGGATCATTGGTTGGTATATTGAACAGATTGGTATCTTTAGTTCAGCTTGTTTCTTGTGATCCACACAGATTTGTTTGCATATATCTATGTTGGTATTCTTTTATATCCATACACCTCAGTTTTGTTGGTCAACAAAGTTCAGCTTTTCAGAATTACAAATTTGAGTTGTACATGCAGGAAAGTCATATGAAAGAGATCGTCCTAAAGGCAATGGGACAGGCAATCAGCAAGACAGTAGCTGTTGCTGAGTTTGTCAAGGTTGATATCTTACTGCTTATGTGTGATTTTGCTAGTATGTCAATTTTTAGCCTCTCTTAATCTATATTTTGACTACAGAAAAGGTTTCCTCATCTGCATCAAGATACCGTGATAAGTTCTGTTAGCATTACTGATGTTTGGGAACCCATCGAGGAGGGTCTTGTTCCGTAAGTGTTTTGCTGCTTTTTCATGGAGAACGATGTATTTAAATTTTGATTGGGTTGGTGGTACAACATGCTTAACTTTTTTTTTTTTTTGCTTTTGTGAAGATTGGAGATGACACGCCATGTTTCAATGATCTCAGTAGCTTTGTCAACCAGAGAACCCAACAAGAAGGGCCCTGGGTACTGCATTTGATTCTTCTTATGCTGCATCTCAAACATGGTTTAGTCTTCTTAGCGGGGTATGGCTCTACAAGAGCTTTGTTGCATACACTGTTGATTTTCCTCCCTTGGTAGGTATCAAGCTCCGGTACATGTCCAGCAGCCAAAGCATCAACAGAAGTTTCAGCAGCCACAGCAATCTCAACAGCAGCAACAATATCAGTACAGACAGGCACTTGGTCAACTTAATGAAGGTACTTGTAATGAATTCTAATATTTTGACTACTGAAAGCATCAATTAATATATAATATATTATTTTTGTTTTTCTTGTTACAGATTCATATGGCCGAGGAAGTGTTAGAGGTAGAGGAAGAGGAAGAGGCTGGGGAAGAGGAGGATATGGTGGGTATGGTGGATATGCCAATAATCAGGGTGGTTATGGTGGATATAACAACAATCAAGGAGGATATGGCGGCAACTACAATCAAGGTGGATATGGTGGCTATGAAAACAACCAAGGTAGCTTAATCTTTTGATGAATGAGCATATATAGATGTGTCACATTTTAGATTCTGCTTCTGATGGACTGGAGCATAGATATATGGTCTGCAGCATATAACTTATATATGCTTGCTCTGATGCCTTGATTTATGGGATATATGATAGTCAAAATTAGTATAATTAAGGACATCAAAAGGAGTATATATTGAACTTTGTTTCTTCTCTTTCTTTTGGTTTATTTAGTTCTCTTTAAGTTAGCTGATTCACTATATTTCATGATAGAAAATGGTGGATGGAACTCAAATTGGAATCGAGGTGGTGGACGTGGTAGAGGAGGTTGGAATTCACGTGGTAAGCTCATAATAATTATTTTTGTCCTTCACTTGCTTTTACTTTATGACCTTGCTGCTGCCACATTGAGTATTTACTTCTAGACCTGTCACTAGGGTTCAATTTACAGAAATAGTCTCTCTACCTCCAGGGATATGATTGGAGAAGACTCCATATTTGCAAGTCTTATGCAGTTGGTTTCCCTTTGCCTATTAGTATTTTACAATGTATTTACTTAAGAGATCTAAGTTGGATCGATATTGGGACCAGGGTTTGGATTAAATTTTACTGGTATCTGTCAGGGATGAGGATTTTGTCTGGATTTGCCAAATCACATTGTTTGAAATTTATTTTGTGAACTTTGAAAAATATGACTCTGACTGTTGGCAAGTCATTCGAATTCATATGTTTGGTTGAGACGGGTCCAAATAGATGTGACTGGCTAGTAATAAGGCAGATGTTGAGATTGATCTAAGGTCTGCCATGAAAAGATTATTTCAATAATCCATGAATTTCAAAGGTTTCAGAATTAAACTTGGCTTCTTTTCATCTGGATCATCGGAATCAAATTAATCGTGAATCTGGACTAAAAACAAAAGCAATCACTTGTATTGTTTCTTTGGTCATGCTGTGTCTGGCACCATCTAGGAAACTTGTTAATTATTTCTTCTAAAAAGATTTTATGATATTATCTTGAGTGCAGTTTTTCCAGTTTATTTCCCTCGTGCATCTGTGGTTGTAGCTGTAACACTAGTATTCAATCATTGAAGTTTTGAACATGAGTTATGATAGAAATAGGAACAATTTGCATGGGAGAAGTTTTGGATGGTGAGAATGACCTATGGTGATGATTAGTAGGTATATTTTAATTAATAAAGTCTAGTGTTTTACTTAATAAAGTTTGGTTTAATATATTGTTTTAATTAATTGGATTTGTCCAGGACTAGCTATGTTCCTATCTATAAGTTTGACAGGAGTTGTGCTAGGTTGGACATGTTAACACTGAATACTTCCAGCATAAGCATGTCAAAATGCAAATATATGAACATTTGAACACATGGGTAACGAAAAGGATGTCTTCACAAAAGTTACATGTGGGTGATCATAAGGGACTTTGAAAGATGTCTTCACAAAAATGACATGACTGAACTTTTTCTTCTTTATTAGTTACAACTTGATGATTAGAGTGAAACAAAAAACAGCTTGAAAGTGCTAAAGAAGTGTGATCTGAAAGGATTTGTTCAAAAACCATTGCACCAAGCTGCCTCTTGCCTCTTCTAGTAAGTTGATACCGGGACAACCCAGCAATCTTTATTTACATGCTAGGGGTGCAAAAGATACATTTTTAGCTTTTCCCTTGAAACTTGTCTAAAATTAATCATCCATATTCTTTTGGTATTACCAGAAGTCTTGATGTAACAGGTGCAGGATATGGTGGAAGAGGAGGTGGTGGAAGAAATGGTGGCAGGGGTTATGGAAATGGGCGAGGAAGGATGGGTGGCCGTGGGAGAGCAAACTAGTTTTATCTACAGTGTTTGGCTTGTGGTCTTCTTGTCAATGCATCGCTAATCTTAGGGAATATAATCATCCAACGTCTTCTGAGTTTATTTGAGAACTTGTTTCGGTGATAAGCAGACCGGATTTATGTTTATACAGTTGTGGTTGTTCAATTCAGCTTTATTGCTCCAGTACTACTGCGATGTTGTAATCCATTTCATTCCTCCCTTCTTCTGTATCGCTTGCTTGTGTTCATCAAATGTCCTTCAAGCTTCTTTCTCCTATTTATTTCTCTGCTTCAAGTTTCTATAGGTATATATGCAATGATCCACCATATGATAATTTGCTTAGAAAGTTACCATAAAAAATGCATTGATTTTTTTGTTCATCCATCGAAATTTCATTAAAGTTTCGATGAGGCCCTTCCTCGAGAAGCTCTACAAAACAAATCAACACAAACACTCTTCATCTCACATATATATATATATATATATACATATACATATGTAAATGGTTCAGAGGAACAGGTTCCCTTCATCTTCCATTGTCTTGCATGTGAGATTGCTGCTGCACTTCCTTGAGCAAAGATTTCTCCTGTGTCATTTGCATGTGAGATTGCTGCAGCACTTCCTTGAGCAAAGATTTCTCCTGTGTCAGCGGACTCTGGCATCTCGCGGTCCGCGGTGAAGCTAACCTAGACATCCCTGCACCTGTCGGCGACAAGCATACTTGCTCCAGTGCACGAAACTGGAGCTCCGATGGGTAGTCCCTCACACACCCTATTCGAGGCCCTGCTCCCGTCGTCCACTTGAAGGAGAGCTTCTTCCCCAGCTGATACGAGTTGATGCCCTTCTTCGAGTTTATCCTTCGACGTATCAGTTCCGACGATATCACAGCTTCTCCACCCTCTTCCTGCTCCTCAACACACACGTTCTCTGGTCTGGTCATGTCGTGTTCTTCAGCAGTCATCTGCTGCTTGTGGAGATTGTGATCTTGCTGCACCTCGAGTGTTCCCTCTGGTTTCGGATCAGCAACTGTTCTGCTAAGGTTCACTCCCTCGCACGTGGTAATGTTGTTAATGCTTGTGTTCCCAGTGAAGGATGCTCGAGGCAAATCTGCATCAGTTTCAGGCTTGGTGGAGACATTTCCTTCGGCCATGTTCAGCTTCGAGTGGTGCTTTCCTGGTCTACTGCAGTGTTCTTCTTCTTCATGCTCTAAATCTGCATCGGTTTCAGGCTTGGTGGAGACATTTCCTTCAGCCATGTTCAGCTTCGAGTGGTGCTTTCCTGGTCTACTGCAGTGTTCTCCTCCTTCATGCTCTAAATCTGCATCGGTTTCACGCTTGGTAGAGACATTTCCTTCAGCCACGTTCAGCTTCGAGTGGTGCTTTCCTGGTCTCCTGCAGTGTTCTTCTTGATGCTCTTCGGTTGGACTTCTCTGTTTGAGATGAAACAAACACAACGATTCAGCATGCTTCGCAGTGATTCATCTATGATGAAGAAGAAGGTACGAATGACTTGTTGACCTTAACATCAGTGAGATCGACATTTTTTTCTGCAAGATAGCTCATGAAATCCTGAAAGTTCTCTTCGGTCGGGCGATAATGGCCGCTATGAGGCCACACAGCCTGACAAAATCATGATAAAACACGTAAAACAATTCGACATAATTAATTTACCGAGGAACTCATCTTTTACCTTGAGAACTCCTTTTTCTAGTACCAGTTGGCCAGCAGCAGAAGTAGCTCCCCCGGCAAGAAAACTAGAGTGCTGAAACGTGCCTTTCTTCTTCTGCAATGCTCCATCCATCATCCTAAGCAGTTTTCACATCGAACAACGATCTGTAGTTCAAGGAGAATCATCACCTGAGCAACATATAGTTTCTTCAGTGTGCTTAGGACGAAGATCCACTTCGCATCTTTCGGACCTTCAGACGAGTCTATCACCTGTCTGCTCTTCCTGTACATGAATCTTCCATCCTCGATTATGACCTCGTAGGCATCCCTTTCTTTCTGCAGATCACCACGATGAACAACTAATCGATCATGGAGAGAAACACAAAGAAGGAAGACTACGTTCCCGAGGCAAGTGCTTACAGGGCCAAGATACTTGATGCACTGCTGTTGCAGTGTCGATCGAGTGCACTGTTCTTCGAGGTTGACCTCCTTTCCTTCCCCTACATCGAGCCTAATGAACACAACGTGATGGATTAAGGCAGATGCTCTACTGGTTATCCAAGTCCCTTAGTGAAGTCTGCAAGACTAACCAGTAGAAGAAAGGCTGCATGCTCTCGCGTTGAAGCCAGCAGTCATAGTAGAACTGGAGATTGTGACCATACCGATGTCGAGGATCGATCTGTCGATATATAACATTAAAAACATCGATAGAAATGAATGACACAGATTGTTCTGTGAACTGAGATGAGACACTCACTGCCTCTAACCAATGCTGCAAGGCAAGTTTCTGAGCTTTCTCATCCTTGGATAGACCCTTCCCCACCTGTAAAGCAAGAACACGAAGTTTAATCCTCGATGATCAGAACATCACAATCGAGATGATGTTCATATCGACTCCAAAAACCAGACCTTTGCAGCCCTCGTTCTCGCCCTCGACCACCGCGAAACCACAGATTCTTGCTTCTCGATGTCGAAGAACGACACGGAGCTTCGCTTGAGCAATGCAAAATCTAACAGCTTCCACCTGAATACATAGAGAATCTCAATCACGATTCATCTGACATGAGTCCGGAATCTCGGGATCGGCAGTAAGGGTGATACCAGCTCTGCTCTACGAGGACGGCACAGTCTGCGAGCTGTCTCCTTGTCCGAAAGCTCTTGTAGACCTTCTGCAACTTCACGGCAGCTTCATGCTTGGGGCTGCCAGGCCCGATCAAATCTGATTCCAAGGACCTCTTCCCCAGAGGACTGAACCTCGATATCTTGGGATGATCAATCTTTGCGGGCACATCTTGCTTAGGAGCAGCAGTCTTTACCGCGATATCGGAGTCCAAGTGGAAAGGGTCCATTACCCTTCCATTAAAGCTCACAGATCCTTCTATCAGTCGTTTCCCGGGGCCAAGAGACTTGAGGTTGGCAGGCTTGGAGTCGCGGCCATTGAAGCTGATGGACCGCAGAGTCGATCTCACGTTGTCACCGAAACTGAGAGACCTCACGATGAGAGCTTCCAAGCGATCGTTCATGGAATTATGGATCTCTCCGGGGCACGAAAGTGTCACCCCCATGTTGATGTTGGATGGAAGAGGCTTCTTCTCCTTGGTGATGGGCAATGAGATGTAGATCTCAGCCTGCAGAGAGAAGAACTGAGCATCTAAAACCGGCAGTTTCGAGCTGCATGAAAGCAAACGTTTTAATCTGCCATAAGAAAACCAGAAATGCTCTTAAGGCAACGATTTCACAATGCCTTGAAATCTTCGAGAAACAACAGAAAAAATGAGGCCATTAAACGCTCCCAACAATCGAATCGAAGGCGGAAACATGACAGATGGAACCAGTTCATTCAGAAATCAGAATGAACAGGACCCATTCACCTACCATTCTCATATTAAAGAAGCCATTTTTCATCTGAAACGATCCAATGATTGTAAGAACAAACACACACTGACCCATTTACATGCATCAAGATCCGCTTCAAAACCTCGGGAGAAGAACAAAAAAGAAGAAGAAGAAGAAGAAGAGAAAACCAAATTATTCCACTCACAGGAAGCAAACATGAAGAGATCAAAGCTCAGACCTTCCTCTCCTCTGCCTCGAGGATCACC